GTGTAAACTCATGAATCGGTCTAGGCCGATTGAAGGTGTAGACTCATGAGCCGGTCTGGGCTGATCGAAGGTGTAAACTTATGAATTGGTCTGCACCAATCAAAGGTGTAAACTCATGAATTGGTCTATGCCGATCAAAGGTGTAAACTCATGAATCAGTCTGGGCCGATCGAAGGTGTAAACTCATGAATCGGTTTGAACTGATCGAAGGTGAAAACTCATGAATCGGTCTGGGCTGATCGAATGAATCGGTCTAAGCCAATCAAAGGTGTAAACTCATGAATCGGTCTGGGCTAATCGAAGTTGTAAACTTATGAATCGGTCTGAGTCGATTGAAGGTGTAAACTCATGAATCGGTCTGATCCAATTGAAGGTATAAGCTCATGAATCGGTCTGAGCCGATCGAAGGTGTAAACTCATGAATTGGTTTGGCCGATCGAAGGTGTAAATGCCAAGTGAAGCTTGTATGGAGCTTACAGTCGAGTCGGCGTAACCGACTTTGTAGTTGAAAACATTTGATTGAAGCTGGAGTAGTGACATGCATGTTTTAAGCAAATAGCCGAATGGAGAGTCAATATGCATGATGTGCATGTGTTATGGACTGAATGAAGAGTGAGCTAAATGGAAAAATGGGCTGCATGTATTTAAGTAATGGGTTGAATAGAGAAAGATTTAACCAAATAGAGTGGTAGTTAAAAGGAGATAATGACACATACCTTTCCCCTTCAAGTGTTGCCGCCGATGCTTGTTGGACCGAGTGGAGAGAGGGGTGTTACTTTCTATGTCAAAGCTGAACCAGTTGAAGTTGAGTGGGCACGTGATTCACTTTTGGACTGAACCGAATGGGCACGTTGATATTGTATGTGCAGACCCAAATATCATTGAGTGGACTACTCATGTTGTTTAGTGGTGCTGAGTTGCAATGGGGAGTGGAAAGTTTGCAAACAATAGGGAGCGTGAGGGCTTTTGTGATAGGTGTGCTGGAGATTGTGATGTGAAGGTGGTTTGAGTTGATATGTATTGGTTGGGAAGGGGCGATGGTTCGAGTTTGGAGTTTTGTAATACGGTGAGGTAAGAAGATTAGGCGAGAGTGGGGCGTCGTCACTTAAGCAGATTTTGTTTGGGGGGTTTCTCTTCGTGTTTAGTATATGACTTTGGGTGTTTTAAGAGGATTACTGCTGTGTTTTTAGGATTTAACTGTGTGATTAGAGAAGTTGTTAGGGCGATTTTAGGAGAACAGGTGGACGGGTTTTGGGTTTCAAAGTGGTGGAAAATCTTTGTGAAGTTGAATTGGGATTGGATCAAGGTTGGTTGAGTTTGAGTTACCTTCTAATGGAATGGAGGTCTTGGAGATGCTGGTATATTGCGGCATCTCTTGAATGAACAAATTGACCGGTTTTATGGCGGGTGATGCATTGCAAAGCTCTAATGATGGTGGCGGACCACCTGGTGGTTTGATGATTGAAGTGAAAAGGCGCGTGTAGAGAGATTAGAGACAGAAACTATTGCCTTATCTAAACAGAGTATTAGAAAAGAGAGATTGTTGAAGCAAAGTCAATAAATCAAGTGGTTTAGGAACACCACTTTAAACCTTGACACATTATTATTCTATTATTAATTTAGAACAATAATATGAGCTTCAAGGTCTTATACTACCCGCTAAATGGATATAATATAAAATAAATTACGATATGTCGAATAGATATAATATGGCATGTGAATAGATAAAACAAACGAAGAAAAATAAAGAAAAAAATTCTTATCGAGATGGGATTTTCTGATTAACATTGTCAGTCAAAAAGAGTCCTGTGTTGCCTCCCATGTTGTAAGTTGTCGTTGACAGATGATTGTCAGGGCCCCACGGTGGGCGCCGAACTGTAGATGCAAAAAATCTACCGTTATGAAAATAGGGTCTGATCCCGTGAGGTTGAGGCCACTGACAATCCGCTAGACCTGCACACATGAAAGGATAGGCGTGAAGCTTCCAGAAAACACTGAGATGGTGTTTGCTCGCTCAAGTCAGCAAGGCCGAAAGAGATTATTTGATAAAAATTAAGGAGATGAAGAATTATCAGGAGTCTTGTCGGGAGCTAGGACTACGGTAGAGGCTTCGGGTTCTTGAGAACAAGAACTTTAAGGGCAAATAGATGGTTTTGAGTAGTGTAGATTGATTATGGGAGATTATATACTGAATGAGAGGGCAAATCTGAGAATTAATTAATTTTGACTACTATAATTATAAATCGAACCATAATTATATTTCATTTTTTAAAGACATGGCCAAGATTAAGTTACAATTGATAATATAGTTGTCAATGAAATTTAAACAGCAATATATTATATTGGGTTAAGAACGTAAAACATGGTTAAGAACCCCAATTCAAAATCGAAAATGAGAGATCGTTCGCAATTCAGGAGAAATGGAAACCCAAAACCCAAAAAAACATCAATTACCAAGAAAGCCTAAAAAATTCAATAAAAAATCAAAAGAATACGAGAGAAAATTACAGAAAAAGATTAAAAAATAATGAAACTTACCAACCGAAACAAAGGATCTTGATTGATTGATAGTTGACACAGACCCTTTAATTGACTAAGACAAGAGTATAGTAGGTTCCAAGGAATAAGCCCAAATTGATCTTGCAGCAGATAAAGTTTTATCATTTTTTTAATGATAATAAGAACAGGAAGTGAAAAAGGGGGTAGAATTGATTTTAAAAAAATTAATAATATGATAAATTATGGCACATTGTTTTCAGGAAAGGATCTAAAAACCACCAAACTCAATACTACTTTTCGCGCTACAGCCTACAAGTACAAATATAACAAAGCGGTTTTCAGACAGGACATAAAAGACTTTAGAAAGTCAACAGAAGTTCAGTCGGTGGACCGTTTTGCCCTCTACATTTTTGTTTATTGTAAATTAATATTATTAATAGGATTTCCTTTTTTTTTTTTTTTTTAAATCTCAATTTGAAAACAAAGTTTTTAAATTATTGGTAATAAAAGGGGTGAGCATGGATAGTGGGTAGAACCAGAACCAGAATCGGAACCGGAATCGGAACCTACTTAGAACCGACACGATGCAGGTAGATTCCGATTCCAATTTTGTTAGAATCAACACCGTGCGGTTTCGGTTCCTACATATTTCAGAATTGGAATTGGAACTTGGGAAAAGAACTTGAAGTGGACACCTTGCTTGGAACCTGTTTGTGTTTTGGTTTTAATTAAGAAATTTTATGTAAATTATGATGAATTGATTGAATTAAAGTGTTGTCTAGAGATTAGAGGATTTATGAGTCACATTGGACATAAATGAATGAGTAATCAAAAGTTGAAAACTACTAAATGTAGGTTTTCTTAATTTGTTAGTGGTGTATTTATAATCTTTTAAGGTATTTTTGTCATTTTTTAAACTAATAGGAGGTAATTGATTTTTTACATGATACTTTGGGTAAGGAATCGGAGTCTACATTTTAGGTTCCGATTCTTTGAATTTAAGAACCGGAACTTGTTGGTTCCGATTTCGATTTCTTTTTTTGGGAACCTGCACTGTGTAGTTTTGGTTCCGACTCCCTTGAAAAAATGCACTGGACCCAGAACTGCTCACCCCTAATTGATATTTGATAAAGATCAATTTATTTTTATCCAATTTTTTGATTTTTTTATCTTTTATCAATAGCTAAGATATAATATAAGATTCTTTAAGATCTTTTTTATATTTTCTATTTTTGGGTATTTTATTTTATTTTTGTGTATTCATTATTATTATGATCATATTATATTTGGGCCAACTTACATGCGACTAATTCTCGGGGGAGATGCAAAAGAAGTAGGTAACTAGCACTTGTCCTACCACACTCAAACTATCCATCGCTGACATATATACAACTAAATGAAAAACATAAAATGATAATTAAATATGTAATATACACTATCGTCGTCTAACAATTTCATGACGTAGGACAAATGTAAATTCTAATACCCCCTTGTCGTAACGGGAAGCGTAATGCGAGATAAATGCTAATTCTCTCTCATGTATAGTGTGCAGAAAATTAAATAGGTCAATCATGTGTTACATATTGGGTTAAAGTCTAAACCTAAGGGTCCATTTGTTTTTTTATTTTGGATAGGATTTTAGAAATAATATTGGGTAGTTGAATAGGGTAAGTATTACGAGATAAGATTCAAAATTCACAAAAAAACCCCTTAGGTATGCTAATTTAACTAAAAACCCCAATATATAAAAATTTTGTAAAATGACAAAAACACCCCCATCTACCCACAGTGCCAGATTTTGGCCACCACCGTTAGAATCCAGCCAAAAAATAGCGTTATGATGTAGACCGGTCGGATCTGGCCGGTCGTGCGTCGATGTGGCATTTTTCGACGAGATCCACCACTGATCTAGCTAGAAAAGGCTAGATTTGGCATTCGATGGCCGCAAAAGGTTAGATTTGGTCGTCAGCGATGACCAAAGATATAGCCGTTGTTATCGGTCAACAATTTCTTTGGTCGTCAGATCTGACCTTTTTCAACCAGATCTAATGTGGATCTAACCAGAAAAGACCAAATCGATGAATTATCGGCCATTTCCGATTGTTTCTATGCCGTTGTGACAGATTCCGACAACAAGAGGCAGTGGTTGTCGGAATTTGACAATTATGGATGGGTGAGGGTATTTTTATTAATTTTTAAACTTTTTTCTAGGGGGTTTTAATTAAATTAATAAACTTAAAGGGTTTAAAAGTAATTAAAAATAAAATAGTATTTCTCAAATAATAAAATAAACAAGTATTTTGAGAATAAGATTGAGAATATGGATGAAAATAATAAAACAAATGGAGCCTTAATATGTTTTACATCCAATATTATGCGTAGAACTCATTCTTAAAAGCTCAAAAAAAAAAAAAAAAAAAAAACAAACAAACAAACAAACCGAGTATTCAAAGAAAAAATATACACTATATATAAGACAAAAGCAAATTTCTACTAAAACGATCATTCAAATAAAAAATATACACTACAATATGGTCTAAGAAATTTAGTATGATTCATTCCTTCGAAGTTCATTTAACTCTTGTGTAGAGTTCAGTACTCAAGAAACATAACTAAGCCTGCAAAAAACTCTAATGAATGTACACTGTTTCACTAATATGTATAACTATTTCATTCACAGGATGGAATTTTAATGGACAATATCCATGTTACGTATTCCTCATACTATAACTACTACTGCACATGAAACCATATTAAAACTCCTTTGCAGGGTGTTAACGAGGTGGGATGATGGGAATGACATCACTCACAAGGTCACTGCCTGATACATAAGATGAAAAATATTGATCCCTCGTCATGAACGATGAAGAAGCTGGTGCTGATGTTGATTTGCTGCCAGAATGCATGGAGGTGGATTCAGAAAATGTGGCATCAGTTTCTGGCATCATCTTCAGTATGGTTTCTAGCTCCCTCACTACATCTGACATGGATGGCCGTTGTTCTGTCTTGTCATGGCAACAAGTGAGGGCCAAAGCTACAAACCTTTCGATGCATTCAGATGGGTAAGAACCCATTCTATTGTCTATGATGGAGAACATCAAGCCCGATTCACGAGCTACATTCACCTGGATATAGGTTTCGTTTTCTCGTAAGAAAGGTATGCAACAGGGAATAGATATTCAGGAAAGAGTTCTCTGTGTTAAAAAGTACCTCGCGAACTATGTTTTTTCCATGTGATATTGGTTGCATACCCGTCAAGAGCTCCAGGAGTACAACTCCGAGGCTATAAACATCACTTTTATCTGTCAACTTGTGAGTTAGAAAATATTCTGGATCGAGGTAGCCCTGCATGTATAAGATCAATAAATATGTAACTTGAGGCAGGGAGGTGAGTTTATCGCTCTTTCCTTCCAAGACTAATTCCCAGTACTGTTCTTTCTAAATCCAAGTAAGAGGTCATCTACTAGATTTAACAATCAAGGTCTTTTAAAAATATTAGATCTAAAGGCCAAACAACATGCATAATTATCAGTAGAAAATGTAAAAAACGTGCAAAAGGTGAACAGTATTCAGTAGCACTTACAATTTTATAAGCTGGAAAAGTTTCCTAAGTGGCTGGAATTTCTGTCCCACTAAAGTTATTGTTATCAAGTTGACTGCAGAGAAAAAAAAGAATATTTTCAAGTATGATAAACCATGTTGCCTGTACACCAACCCATTAATGGGGTTTAAAATTCCTTCCATCAAGAAGCAAATACAATCAAGCCGATATATAGGAATGAAGATCAAGTAAAATAAAAATTACGACTATGGGGCAGAGGAACATACAGTATGTGCAATGTCGGCAACCTGAGTATTCTGGTGGGAAGACCAGTCAAGTTATTATTATCCACAAGCCTGCAAGCATAGTGTTAATGAATACAAAGATCATCCGAACAAGAAAGCAGAGAAATATAATAAAAGCAAAATCTGTATAACTCACAAATGAAGAAGTTGGATAAATTGGAAAGCTCAGGTGGAGTTGACCAACAATTGAATTGTTGTTCAAGTGACTGCAATATTCAGATATATCAGTAGAAAAAATGAGTGGAACAAATATAACTGCCTTGCCAATGGAACTAGCCTATGGATTGAGATCCACTTACAAGTGTCCACACTGGTCATTAGCGAATGATTTGGTTATGTGCCCGAGATATTGTTTGTCTACTGGAGTCTATTAAGTTTGAAAGCTTGCCTAGCTCTTCCGGTAAAGACCTGATAATCTGTTTCCATTCAAGAGTCTGCACACACATGTACATCACGTAATTTAAACCAACACAAAGTATATTGTTTCAAATAGTATCATATTTGAGTAATAATTTAATAAACCCTGCTCTATAACTTCAAGAGTAAAGATGATATATTCCCTATCTCCTTTGGTATGCTTCCTGTCAGATCATTCCACTGAATCCCTGCAAGCAGACAAAATCGAGAAAAGCATTGTGATTAACTTGGAAGATAAAAGTATAATTCAGTTTTCTCAAGATCAACTTATGTAAATTTTGCCTCACAATATTCGAAGACGAGATAGTGGCCAAGCTCAGGCGCTAAACTTCCGAAAGATCACTGTTCAGGAGATGCCTGTATCGAAAATAAGTGTTCAGTATCATTAATTGTCACATCTTTAGAATTTAAGATTTGAAAAATCATTGAAGAAGATAGCAAGCATAAAATGGTGAAAAGGGTATGGAAAGGACATACAGATTCTGAACATGCAAGTAACCATCAGTCTCATCAATTGTGTCAAAATAAAACTCCGGTCAATTGATAGGCATGGATCTCCCTCGTTCCCGTTTCCGAGGGTTCATAGGATCAATTAATCTTCTTGACTGCCACCAATGCGCTGACTGAAATGGACATGAGCAAATATAAAAATCATGGGATAAGGCAACTCTCAAATTCAACAGCCCAACTCCTAAATTCAATTTCTTTTCATAAATGATTATCCTTGAAATAAGATGTCACACTCACATACACTACTTATAGCAGTATGCCATCTTCTGGAGCAAAACAATGAACTTCAATAAGACACTTACACTATTTTACCTATTTTCAACCTAAAACAAATGGAATAAACATAAATTATAGTTAATTTTTCACTGTTGTACTTTCTCTACGGAAATTTAATGTAGTGCTGTTATATATTTTCAAAATTTGATCATCTATCTTCTGCTGTAGAATTTGGTCAAGATTTATGGAAGTTAAATTAGAATATTTTAGAAACAAGTATTCAAGAATAGACAACAAATGAAGAAACTATTTATTGGTATGCCTTCAAACATTTGACGAATAGGGCAGCAAAATTGGCGCTGCCATTTTCATGGTATTCAAGAAAAAAGTGGAATAGTGCAGCAAAATCAAAAAGAAAATTAAACATATCTGGGAAAAGAAATTGCGTATATAAATGCATTAAGAACTTCTTTAGATGAGAAAAACTAGATATCAAAACTTAGTACTGGGAGACATTGAAGAAAACTGAAAAAAAAACTAAACTTGCAGTAAGATTCACCTTCTGAAGGATCTGTAATCTGAGCAACTGCAAAAAGCACCAAGTAACCTACAAACCCGCATAAAAAGTCCACAAAATCTCATCCCTCATCTTGATAATCTACAAAAGCAATGAGCAGAAAGCAGAAATAGCAAATGGTCAATGATATTTGGCATTAACAGAACATATTTCCAACAAAAGAGTGAGCATTGAACCCAGAAGAACATTTGGCTGTAGGAAGCATGTTAAAGGGGAGTGAACAATCAACTCAAGTTTCCTATCAGAATGCTAAGTCTTATAGAATTACTTAGCTATCATTAGTTGACTTTTCTTCTTCCTAAGTGCCAAATAAAAGATCATTCTAGCCAAACATGAATCAATCATTGATGCTTGGATCCAAAACTAATCAAAGAGGCCAAGGGGTCCTTGGGTGGTAAGCTGAAAGCAAATTACACAAACCGAGCCAAAAAAGTTTCTGATAAAATGTTGTTTCATGTATATCATCATAGATTTCTGAACTGAGGAAAAAAATGGTTTCTGGAAGGCACAGGCGGCATGGTAGTTCATTTAAAAACCCCAAAAGATATTTTAAAACTCTCTGTTTTCTTCATAAAAAATATGCGACAGAGAAATTACAATAAAATAAGCACAGTGGCCCTTTGTTTTCATATTCGGTGAGAAAGAGAAGCTTTTGCTTCAGTTTTTTTTACTGCTACAATGTGTGACTTTTTATAAGTTTACCTGCTACACAAACACAAGACATAAATTATAGAAAAGAGGAGAGGGACGTATGGCGCGTGCTTGAACGTGAATCATGAGGGATCGTACTTTCATATTTCCGACATTGATGTAAAGTACAAGTGTTGGGGCCAAGTGGGGAGACAATAACTTTTGTCTCAACGAGACCAAATTCTGATTGGCTTCTGGCGGTCATATATACAACCAGATTAGCCCTCAAGTGATCAAGGTTGTATCTTTTATCAGGGTTTCAATGGAGTAAGTTTCAAGTACTCTATTAATTACGTTGAAAAAGGAAGAAATTGTCAAAGACCAATCCTTCATATTGGTTCCCAGAACATGATTTGAGTGAAACACGCGATTATGTAAAGTTCAAAAGTAATTGTGCAATTAATGGTGGATATGGGTGTAAAGATTCTTTATGGAGGAATAACAACTAATCATTTTATAGCTAGAAAGTATGTTCGACATGCAATAATTAGACAATCACCACATGAGATTGATAGTATGTGTGTATATATAAATATTAGTTATGAAAGAATTGGTGAATCTGTAATGCAAGAACACGAGATTTTTAAATGGTTCCGGTAGAACCAAAACTAGTCCACTATTATTATTGCTTATGTTTGTTGTATACCCAAAGTGATTATAAGAAGGAAACACGTAATAACGAGTAAGATCTCTCTCGGTGATTCCATGCTTGTATGAATAATAATCGATCGATCCCTAAAACGAAGGTGAGACCTCCCTTTTATATACACTGTCTGAATGGTTGAGGTTGTATTATGGGTGGATTACATGCATAATCCCCTATAACAAGATTGAACATGAATTTCCGCTCATACTTATTTGAACACCTATACTTAGTACTATTGAGTTGTTGGAGAAGTCATCTGCTATAGGAGCGACACGCAGGATGATTCTAACCGCTAGATCTCGGTAGGGTTTATAAACAGTTGGCATGAATCTAGCTATTGGAAAATCATGCACAACAAGATAAATGTTTAAATTGTAATTATTTTAGATGAAGATAAATAACATGATGAGATGAAGTAGTAACATGGTAGAGACCAATTCCAATACATGTGAAGTATTGATATCGAAATTAACAACTTTCTTGGAAAATATCACGTACCAATTTAGATTAGTCTAATAAACATTTTTTAAGTGAAGAACGATTCCATGAAACTTAATAAATCGTATGGACGATGTTTGTTCACAGCAACTTTTTCTTAGTCATAGTAACCCTTCTATAATCACATTGGATGACCTAATGATAAAAGAATAAGAGGTTCAATAAATTTCTAGTTTAAGTCTCTCTAGACTAACTATGGATGACCATGAAGGGATTTACTGGTCGTTCATTTCAAGGTCCCGAAAGAATAGTTAAACTGTACGTAAACTGGTCGAACACTTAGATCATAAATAAAATTAAAAATTAAAAAATTAAAAAATTAAAAAAACCTTCTATGGTGGATACTGGTGCAAAGACTCTTCCCTAGTGTTGGAAAGCCACTAATTCACTTAATAACTGCATTGATAAACGTTTAGACTTGTGATTATTTTAGAGAAGATTAACAAGACCGACACCTATAAATTTAAGTTTTGTTATTGAAAACTGAGGACTTTATCAAACTGATGTCACAGTTTGATGAATTTATTTTAATGGTGAAAAGGAAGTAAACAGGAGTGTCAATGAAGTGCCTTCTACGAATTCATATGCAGCTATTTATATAAATTGACATTTCTTTATAATTTATGCATATCATTAATTATACATGACCCAGTTGGCCAGTTTTTAAAACTCCTGTTCTTGGTGCACATAAAGTCAACTCTACAGATTTTATAGCCACTCAAATGGTGGCCATTTATGGTGTGACTTTTCTGAAAAATGGTGTCATATAAATATTAATGTGCAATTATTTTTATATATTTTAAGTTTATTAATTTCATAAAATTTTAAAAAAATTAAAAAATTAAAAAAAACACTCTCAGACCTATACTTGTCAGATTCCAACAACCGTCACCGGTGGTAGTCAGAATCTATCACAACGGCTTATACCACAACCAAAACTGACCGGTATTTATCGATCTGGCCTTTTCT